CCTGTAAATAAGTAATGAACGGTGCATGTTGTTGATATGGAGGTAAATCTTAAAAATAACAAAAGTAACATAAATTGAAAAGCCTACATTTTTGCCGTCTATTGCTTCTCATTTCATCAAACAACTGAGAAGTTAATAACTGAATTGCAAAGTAAGTATTAACAATAACGTTAATTATGTTCACATACTCAGTTTAATTCTGTGTTGAATGAATTGTGTCTCTCACCCGACTGCAGCTTCCACAGCAAAGCAGACCGAGTAATGATCTCCCAGGTCATCTGCTGTAGGTGTCCACTTAAGGACAAACTCTTCATTGGTAGTTCTGTGTTTGGTGATATTTGTTGGCCCACTCATGATGATGTTTTGGATTCTGTGTGGAAAACAAAGTAGATATTTCTGTGTTATTACAAATGCTGTTTTGAGTACAATAAGTCTCATTATAACTTACGATGAAATTGTGGCTTCTGCTTTCACTCTGATCTCCACCTCTTTGTGAACCTCTGCAGTGATGTGTTGTCCATTTACAGGTGTTGGAGACACTAATCTCGGCAGATAGGCGCCCTCCTGACATGAGAGAGCAGGGGGGTCCACTGTAGAATAGTAACAACAACATCACAATACATATGAAAATTCTTACATCTTCCATTTGCTCTCACGTCCTGGGGGTAAATAATTTACTCCTGAATAAAAGAAGATCAAACCAAATTCTAAGGTCAAACTTCTTGGAAGAACTGAAGGAACCAGACAAACTGATTTTGCTGTGAAAATGCTCAGTGATTAAAATTAGCGGAAGAAGCTGTAACGGCGTTATTAAAACTAAAAGAAGCAGAATATCAGCCAAAGCTAAAGCAAAATGCTAAGAAGCAAAATATTAGCTAAAAACTAAAAGCAGCAAAATGAGCTAGACAATAAAACTAGCAAAAGTTAAATGTAGTAAATGTCTAGCTAGAAGTAACTTTGTTAGCTAAAAGCAGATAAATGGTAGCTAGACACTAAAGTTGCAAAAGGATATCTGTAAGCGAAAACTAGAAAATGGCTAGCTAAATGTAGCAAAAAATGGACTAAACTAAAGTAAAAATAAAGTAGATAAAGAAAAATGGTAAATGGACTGTACTTATACAGCGCCTTTCTATCTAATCAAGATACTCAAAGCGCTTTACACTACAATCTGTGCCTCATTTACCCATTCATACAGCTCTATACTAGATCTCTACAAAGCTAATTGAACAAATCATTCTAAAGAGACTAATCAGTGCTTTAGATCACATTCATACACTGATGGGACACACATCAGAGGCTATGAGGGGTTCAGTGTCTTGCCCAGGGACACTTCGACATTTGACTGCTGGTGGATTTGAACCCCCAACTCTCGCATTGGAGGACGACTGCTGTAACCACTCAGCCACAGCCGCCCACAAAATATGCAGAAGTAGTTAGATTGCAGGAAACTGCTGAATGTTGATCAGCACTTACATGAAAAAAAACTTTCTTGCCTGGGCTAAATAAAACATGTAACTTGTTTTAAACATAAAGAGCAAGATTAAAGGAACAGAAAAAGAATGGCCATAAAACTAAATGATTACATTAAACAGATAAAACATTATTCTAAATTTCTTAATACATACATCTCAAAATGCTCTTGTAGCGGTAGTAACGCCCGACTTTAAAAAAAAGTCAAATGGATTTAAATATTACTTTGTATACATATTTTTATATATGCATTATATATGCACATATATACATTATATATATATATATATATATATATATATATATA